AGGAGCAGGATTTTGAATTCTGGATTTAACAGGGAGCCAATGAAGGGAAGCCAATACAGGAGAAATCTGCTCTCTCTTTCTAGTCCCTGTCAGGACTCTTGCTGCAGCATTTTGGATCAGCTGAAGGCTTTTCAGGGAGTTTTTAGGACTTCCTGATAATAATGAATTACAGTAGTCCAGCCTGGAAGTAATAAATGCATGAACTAGTTTTTCAACGTCACTCTGAGACAGGATATTTCTAACTTTAGAGATGTTGCGCAAATGGAAGAAAGCAGTCTTACATATTTGTTTAATATGTGCATTGAAGGACATGTCCTGGTCAAAAATGACTCCAAGGTTCCTCACAGCGTTACTGGAGGCCAAGGTAATGCCATCCAGAGTAAGAATCTGCTTAGAGACCATATTTCTAAGATTTTCAGGGCCGAGTACAATAACCTCAGTTTGATCTGAATTAAGAAGCAGAAAGTTAGCAGCCATCCAGGTCTTTATGTCTTTAAGACATTCCTGCAGTTTAACTCATTGGTGTGTGTTATCTGGCTTCATGGACAGATAGAGCTGGGTGTCATCTGCATAGCAGTGTAAATGTATGCTATGTCTTCTAATGATGCTGCCTAAGGGAAGCATGTATAATGTAAACAGAATTGGTCCTAGCACTGAACCCTGTGGAACTCCATAATTAACCTCAGTGTGTGAAGAGGACTCTCCATTTACATGCACAAACTGGAGTCTATTAGATAGATATGATACAAACCACTGCAGTGCAGTACCTGTAATACCTACAGCATGTTCTAATCGCTGTAATAGGATATTATGGTCGACAGTATCGAACGCTGCACTGAGGTCTAGCAGGACAAGCACAGAGATGAGTCCACTGTCAAATAAGAACAGGATCGAATGGCTGTTCTTATTTGAAGTTTTGAAAAAGTTTGGTATTGGAAACAGATTTTTTAAATGGATTCAGTTGATATACTCCAACCCTCAAGCAGAGATTTTAACTAATGGTCTTTTTATCCGCACCATTCAGATTATATCGTGGAACTAGACAGGGGTGCCCCTTGTCACCTCTCTTGTTCACCTTGGCAATTGAGCCTCTTGCGATGGCAATTCAGAATCATAAAAACATATCAGGAATTACAGTAATGCTGACCACCGTATTGCCCCATATGCAGATGATGTGATCCTGTTCTGCACCAATTTAAACAAATCAATACCATCCATTTTAAGTCTCATTAATACATTTAGTACATTTTCGGGTTATAAAATAAATTTTGATAAATCCGAAATATTATTTTTGAATAAAAATGAACGACAAAATCCTCCAATCAACACTCCCTTTCTGCTATCTGAACATGGGTTTACTTATCTGGGTGTGAAATGATCTCATCACAATTCCTTAACGACGTCAGTTACTACACTTCTAAACAGATGGATGAAACTACCTATATCTTTAATTGGTCGTATTAATATACTAAAAATGTAAATTTTGCCAAAACATCTTTACCTTTTTCAATCAGTACCTCTCTCTCCACCAAACTCTTTTTAGATTTGCAAAAACTATTCCGAAACTTTATTTGGAACAACAGAAGACCAAGACTCAGAATCTCATTACTAAACCTTCCTTATGAAAGAGGGGGTTTACAACTTCCAAATTTAAAGTGGTACTTCTGCTCAAATCAGAGCGGCAATGTTTTATTTTGTTAATGAGCAGACTTCAGTGTGGGTTTCTATGGAATCCACAGAAATCAAAATTCCCCCGAACTTATATCTTTACTCAGCCGACAGGAAGACAGTAAATAAACAAACTAAGAACCCCTTTTTAAAAAAAACACTATAATGATCTGGTTTGAGACACATAACTACTTCGGAGAAATGATCCAACTGTCTCGGTTTACTCCGATATTTGGAAATAACAGCTTTCTTCCTGGTGGGACGGATGCAGGTTTTAGATTTTGGTTCGATTGAGGTTTAAGAAAAGTGTCTGATATATTTAGGAATAATACTCTTATGTCTTTTGAACAACTTAGAAGTACTTTTTCTATTCCTGTCAAACCTTTTTTAAATTTCTTCAATTAAGAAATTTTATCTTAACCACACAAGGTAACAGTTTAGAAATCCCCACCTCCTCCTCTCTAGAGAACACAGTTATAAAGCATCTAAATGGGAGAGGCCGAGTGTTGGAGCCAAGTCCAGGCCAATAATTTCACTCAGTTACATCATGCCATATTTAAGTATTTGTCATGATCTTTAAGTTTCCATTATAATCTTGATCATTTTATGTTATAATGTAATATGCTGTGCTCCATAAATTAATCCTGCTTTATTAGTCTGTTGTTGTTGTAAAGTGTTGGTAGATGTCGTAAAGGGGTGTGTATTTGGCCCGCATGCGGAGGGGTGTGGGTAAAAAAGGTTAGGTAAGCAAGCAGGACGTGGAGCAACAGTTTTCTGACCGTCGCCGTTCTGACCGTCGCCGTTTTAATGTTATTTTTTGGTTGTAACATAAAGGAAATATAAACGGAGCGCCCACCAGAGGCATTTGTTTTGTACCTTTCGATTTGTTTGGAAAATAAATGTTTTGCCCCTTTTCTCCTTCGCCTCGTTTTTTTGCTACCGGAAGGCATCCAAGCGACTGAACAAGAGCACGAGTCAGAAACTTTACGTTCTGCAGAAGCGGCAAAGAAGGACCGAAGGCTGCCGCTACAATACCGAGTTTCTGCATTGTATAAATTATTTATGGAAAATTCCAAAGAATCAACACAGTCTATTTTAGAGGCTTGGAGGAAAGATTTGCAAATGGACATATCTGATGATGAGTGCTATAAATCATGCTCCTTGGCCCAGAGTCAGACAATTAATGTGCAATCTAAACTACTTCAATATAAATGGTTAACAAGACTCCGTCAAAAATGCATCATTTTAACTGAAACATCCCAGACTCCTGTATTAAGTGTGGAGTGGACAGGCACTTTATTTCACTGTATATGGGAGCGTCCACGTGTGAAAATCTTTTGGGAAAAGGTAATAAATCTGTTGAGTCAAATTATTAGCGATGTGATTCCACTTCATCCTAAAATATGTATTTTAAATATATACCCGAATAATTTTGTACCTGCTGCAAACAATAGAGCTCTGTTAACGACTGGACTTTTGGAAGCCAAGCGCTGTATTGCTATGTGCTGGAAAAATCAAAAAATATGTGGACTATCTCAGCAGCTTAATGGACTGACATCTATACTAACTATGGAGAAAATAACTTATGCATTAAGAAATAAACTGTACAAGTTTGGGGCTTTATGATCAAAATTCTACAATGTTTTGGAGAACTGCAACGTGCACACTGTGGCCTTAACGGCCTGAAGTGCTAACTTGATTTGTATATCTGTCTAGGGCTGCGCGATATGACCAGAATCTCATATCCCGATATAAGACATCTATCGTCCAATAACGATATAAATCACAAAAATGTAACATTTTCTGTAAATTCTGTGAATCTCGAGCAGCTCGACTTGCTTGAAGTGTTTCCAGCTGCGCATCATGTAGCTGGAGTCGAGTGTTTTAACCGATGCATGAAACGCCGTTTTCTTTGTGAGTATTTATTACACGGCGTGCTGCGGGGAAAAGCCTGTTCTAACGTTTGAGTCTAAGGTTTTGTTTTTTTTTAGCACCCGGCATCTCTTTTTACTTCTCATCCGTAAATAATCTGCTCTTTCACGTGATTCAGTTTATTTTGAAAAGTCTCAACCGGATCTTGAGCTTTATTGTGAAAAGTTTATGTGGAACATAAACAAGCGGACACGCGATGCTGTTACCGTCGTTGTTGCTAACGACAACGCATAAAAACAGGCGCTTGTCCGTCTGTAGTGTGGTTATATTAAATATAAGAGGAAGAGAAGTTTATTAATACAGCCACTACAGTGACATCAGAACCATGAAAAAAAATTCCCGTAAACAGTTTATTTTGCGACACCACGAAACAAACGATAGCGTGAAATGAAACGACAGACATTTTTATATCGTCATCAGATATATATGGTTATATCGAACAGTCCTATATCTGCCCTTCCCTTCTGTTATGGTTTGCTTTGTTTTTGTTTCTGTTACTATGTTGTTTTTGTTGTATGTTCACGGTGTATCATGTAAAACCGGTTAAAACCAATAAATAAATGTTAAAAAACCCCAAACAAAACTATCAGGACTCTTTTCCAGTTTATTGTCAACAAGTCTGCGATTGACTTTCAGATTAATCAACATCTGAAACATCCCGAATTTTTACAGCAAGTCCAAATCATGATGAGCGAGACGAAATTAAAACCTCGAAATGAAGCACATCGAGACAAAGAGCTCTCACAACACATGCAAAGACCAACCCAGAGGTGACCACTGTAAATCCGTCCTCAGGTCAGAACGCTAACCTGTGCTTCGTTTTCTGACGTGTCACAGTAATGTGTTTCAGGCTCCACTGAGTATAATTCAGGGTTTGCAGAAACCCCAGCAGACCCGCTGTTGTCTTGTTTGCTTCTTGTGGATCCCTGAGTAAGATGGTAGGGCTGACTGCTTCGGGTGATGTTGTCTAGATGCTGCTGTACACTGGTTCCAGCCTACAACAACACATTAAACAACAGTATTAAGTGACTATCCTCTGACAGTAGATTAGCTCAACTCACTGTCCATGAAAATAGAGGTGATGGAAAGTATATTTTAAACAACATACCTTTGGGAATTTGATGAGGTTATTGACAGCTTGAGATGCAGACATCTTTCCTGGTCTCTTTCGCCCTTGTGCAGATGGTGGTAGCAGATGTAGCAGCAGCAAGATAGTAGACAAGTCACTGTCCCAGCCTACAGACGAATAAACAAAGAATTATTCCAAAAATACATTGAATTGACAGAATTACCTATATAACCAACAATGGCAAATAAAAACAGTCACAATCATAGCATTCTCAACTTCAGTACCTGACTCAGCATTGCACATTAACTCCAAGAGCTCTGAGGTCGGGACAAGTCCATGACTTTCCTTTACAACCTTTGCTTTGAGATTGGTGAGCCACCTCTCCAAGAATTTGCTCCCAGTGACCTCACAAAACAGGAGTCGGAAATCTTGTTCTATCTGTAATGCAAAAATACAGAACATAGAGAGGTGTATGATTGAATCCTGCCTACAAATGACATCAGTATCATTTAAATGATAAGTGAACTTACTTTTGGGAGATTTGCAAACTGAGACGCTTCTTTCCTCCACAGCTTTTCTTTGAATGGTCTTCAACCGCCATGCAATGTATCCTGAACTGCTCTCTGGATCGTAGTAATGTTTCTATGTAATTAAATAAACGAAGAAGGACTATGTTATCAACATTTCTGAGGGCAATTATGTATTTCATGTTGAAAAGTTCCCTTTACTTACATATCCATGTTGTGAATATGGGTCTTCCAGATATGGAGACAGAGCAACAATGCCCTGCGCATACATCACTCTTACGTTTTTAGGGGGAGATGTCCTAATGTAGAAATTCAATAATTGGCATTAAATATCACAATTAAAAATAATACAATGTTTAAAATGTTTCTTTATATCTTACATTTTTGATTCTTACCCATGTCATTCTGTCATCTCAGCCTCAAGTATGTTTCTCATCCGTCTTCTGGTTGCATCTCTCAGAGATTTGGTTTTTGCATACTCTTAAACTTTCTATAAAATAGAAACATTACTTAATATTACTTAACATGTCATTAACATTGCTATCAGTTAATTTACACAAAATACATATTTCTTACTAAATAATGAGCAAAACTCTAAAGTAGTGTATGCCTTTGGCATTTGCTTAAAATAATATAAACCAGTAAAGTTAACTTTATGGTAATGTTACCCACTTTTTCTGAAAGTATGTTCGCTTATGTAAGCTAATTAGCGATTATTAGCTTACCGATAAACGGTAATTTAGTTGTTCAAACTGTGCGATTTGACATGTGACAATGGTATTATTTAGACAGCAGAAATACATAGTTAAAATGTTTTAGGTTCATATTAACGCAGTGAGAAGATAACGAACATCTTAACTTTTAGCAACTGCTAGCATGTAGCTACTGGAATGCCATTAAACCTATGGGTAAATGCTGCTAACATGTCCTCGCTCGACATCAGTGAAACTATAAAGAGCTACTTAGTTTAAAAATACCTTTTAAACAATGTGACCAGTATGGGAACGTTAACTGTGGCAGTTCTTCGGAGAAAATTCCCTGCGCATTAGGGCTCTGAGGCTGCACACGCCTGCGGACTGGTAATAATCAACACTGTGTGAAGTCTTCACTGCGTGACTAACAAACTTTACACTGACTTTTAACTCTGATGTTAGAGCTGGTTTACTCCTCATAAAGTTGTAAATACTCTACCTAGGTTAAAATAGGTTTACTCTGAAATATTGACACTCCATTTTTTACTGTGTACATAACAAAATAACTGAGTCGTGATTGGCCAGTCGTGTCCAAAGGACCGTTAAGCTCCAATATTCCCAAATCAAACACAATAAGTCACCAAAACAGAACCACCGTGTCCTGAATCGAGTGCCCACACAAAGGTCGACCAGAAACTCTGTAGCTTTGTCAACAGGTTGAATCTCCACAAAGACACAACCAGCACATTTCAAATAAACCTCCGAGATCAAAACCCAAGAATTTTATCAAGTGGCTGGACAACACAGCGAGTCACTTTCCCGTCAGAGCTTGGTACGGCACTGTAACCGCATCGCTGATCACTTTGTTGTCTGTTTATATTTGATTTTATTTTTTCTTTTATAATGTTTCTCTCTGAATCGCTGCACTGTGTGATCCATGTACGGTGCTCGTGTTCAGGCGTCAGTCTGGGGAACGCTTCGACTGCAACGATTACTCGCTCAAAGTGGCCGACAGCAAAATGAGGTCTGATCTTTGGAATGACAAGAAGTGGATGTGGCTGGCAGTTGAAGATCTGCTACCACATGTACCAGCCCGAGCCCTGCAGCTGAAAACACCACGGCTGATTTACAGGCTCATATTTCTGTATATGCAAACCTGCAGGCATGTGTGAGCCCATTTATGAACTATTACTGCTGAAAGTCAAATCTCCAGGTCTCGTTTTGTAATCTTCCACTTCAAAATGTCGACTCAGGTTTAATTTGAATTTAATTTAAAAGAAATTGTCACACTTCTTTGAACACGGCAGCATGTTCAGTCTGCTGGGGGAACGAAGCCAACAGACTCACAACCTTTCCTGGTAAAACACAGTACAAAGATGTACAGACAGACCAGTCTCAGGATGAACCAAACCAACAGCTCCAACAATGAGTTCAGGTCAGAGACGGGTCCCGGGTCATGTCCACAGCTCGGTGACAACACGATGCTGTTTCAGAACAAGAGCATCAGTGTCCAAGTCGACTCCCATCAGTTCAGGTGATTTTAATTTGAAATGTCTCATGTAGCTTAACTGGCTCGCCTCATTTTAAGGTTTTAACATATTACCAGATGACCAGCTGCCACTTCAAGATCATGTTCAGCTGCAGGCTCGACGTGTGCATTAAAAAGGTAGACGACCTTTAGAGTGGCAAAACCACCGTTTGGCCTTAGAGTTCGTCTGTTAAAGGTCGGTCCGTTGGGAAGTACCAAGGAGGTGTCACTGGTGTGCTGACGTTGGGACATGCTGATCAAACTGTTACCTTTTAGATGATCTCTCCAACAACAAAAGCAGACATGAGCCTACAGCTGAGCCTAAGAGGGCTGAAGACTTGCTGCATGTGAAGCATTGATGAGCTGGACGAGTAACTGTGAAGCATCAGCAGAACTGACCTCAGGCTGGTGTGAACGAGAGGAGCAGATAAAAATATGGAAACCAGCGAAACCAAACTGATGGTGCAGCTTCACGTGGGCTCGGCTCAGCACTGCTTCAGTCTGGCTGTCAGCCACGTTTGCCACTTTCAGTTCAGTTCCTTGCTCAAGGGCAGTTTGTGGTAGCAGGCAACCCTAGCTCTCCCACCTATCGGTGTTTATCGTTGCTGCCTTCAGGTTATTCTCCGGTGATTCTGTATAATCAGCTCCAACAATGAGATTAACCACAGTGAGAGGAACAGGTGTAGAGAACATGAAACTCAACTTTCCCTGGAAAGTTTAAGCCCTATGGGAGTGTCCCCAAGAGGGCCGTGGACCTTCTATTGATCCTCTACCTAATCACATGAGCCAAAACTAAAACCTCCTGATGCATGCTCAATCATCTCTCACCATCTTACATGCTGTGATTGCAGCCATTCCCCAACTCTCTGTGAATGGGACTCATGGACATTGATCAGTGGTTGTTGATCAATGATCATGAGAATTTGCATAATTAAGATTAAGGAGCTGACCTCCCAGCCCATTGTTCCTTCACTGGGCTGGTTCCAGTCATTATGCAAATGTCCTGTTTATAAGATTGAAACCTGCAGTCAGCTGAGACTGAAGACGTCACCTGGTGATGATGAAACGTTTCTCCCACTGAAAACGTGACAAAGATCAAATTTAGTCCAACAGTTTCTTTAAAACAAAAACCTGACGTTGGCATCGTTGAAGAGTTTGACTTCTTTCATAAAATAAAAATGGCCAACCAATCAAAAATGCTCCCTCTACTTTAAATGTTTGCAAAACAATGAAAGTGTTGATTTGGAAATAGAAACGTCATTAAAGATGTTTTTGTCCTGATGAGATTTGAATATGATGCCAAGTTTTCACCGAGTCAACAGGAAAGAACAGTTGTGAAACATCTCACAGCTAATTTGGATCTAATTAGCAACACGCTCGGCTGCACCGAGGCAGGAGGCAGGTTTATATTGAGCTCGCAGTCATTTAAATTCAGGCCTGCGGCGTGGGAGTGGTAATGACACTGTAACTGTCACGCTGTGTTGAAGTCGTGTTAGTGCTGCACAGGTCAGCACACTGCTGCAGGCCGACTCCCATAAACTGTCATTATGAGTTCACAAGCATCAGATTAGAGATGCAAACGTGTTCAGTGCCAAGCAGCAGCTACAGCAGGCGCTCGGTTTATCGCTATTTTTAGAGCAGTTTTATTGACGTGTGTTGACTTGGATAGATGTTTGAACCTGCCCATTAAACCTCAGCGTCACTCTGTGTTGGGCTCTTTCACATCCTCCTTTATGGGAACCGAGTTCACAGCCAAGACTTTGAGGAACATTTTAAAATGCAGTGAGAACGGCGAAAGCAGTAAAATCACACACAGAGCCAGAGGGTGACTGAAACCAGTGTTCAAGTCACCGTATTTATGTTAAAGTCGAGCTTTTATGTGGGAGAAACCAGCCAAAGCAGGAACACGGTTGGGAAAGACTTTAAGAAAGTCTCGATGTGTTGGACACTTTGTGATGATCACATAAAGTTACAACATTTGTTAAATGTAGAGGTCATCGCTGAAGGTACTTTTCTATTTCTATCATATTTTCAGGATAAGACTTCCTGGACACTGAGGTGGTTCCTGATTCCTCACGCTGTTGTTGTCAGGACACGTTTTGATAAAGTGCGAGTTTCATGGAAATTGGGTGAGAACACCTTTGTTTGTGTAGCGTCTTCTAAATAGTGACACACACAACGGGACAGTGGAGGGGAAGAACCGGGAAATGAACTTCTCCAAAATAAAGACCCGTCGTTTTTCCAGAGCCGTGTGAGGGCAACTATTTGGATTCAGGCTCATGTTTAGAACTAGTGTTAGGTTGAAGTTGTTTTGGGGTTTTAAGTCCTGGTTATCAGGACAGGCCGGGTCCTCATAAGTACTGTAAACGAGTCACAACGTGACGACTGTGTTCAGGAGATTTTGTGTTTCTACTTTTACTTATTTATGAAAAACTTGTGTTGAAACACAAAAACATGACGACACAGTGCAAACCTGCTCATCGTTCACCTCTCACGGCTTTTAAATCGAGTGTCTGATTAAATGTTTAAAAATGATGACTTCCTATGGTAAATGCACTGATGTAGCGCTTTTCTACTCTTCTGAGCACTCAAAGCACTTTGCAGAACTTGTGCATTCAGCCATTCACTCCAGCACATTTTCTGAGTGCTTTCTAACTAACACACACTCATACTCCGATGGATGCATCAGAGTATGGAGAGTAATTTGGGGTTAGCATCTTGCCTAAGGACATTTGGCATGCAGTCTAATGGAAGCCAGGAATTGAACCACCAACCTTGCGATCAGTAGATGGCCTGCACTACCGCCTGAGCTACAGCCATAAAGCACTTTGCTTAACAAAGTGTGCACATCGAGCCAGCGTTGGTCTTTATTAATCCTCGTGACGGTGGCAGGTACAGCTGTGCTGGGACTTCGCTAACAAATGCAAAAACTTATTAAAAAAGCATAAAAACAGGTCAAACTAATGATGTTTGATTTGTGCATTTTTTATGCAATCATATTTTTGCTGCCTGACGCTCTGATTTATATAAGAGCCACTAAACTCAACCTGAGCAA